GCGCGAAGCATCTTGATATCTTCCTGCGTCTGTCCTCGAAAGGCAACCTTCGCGAGCTCCAAAGTGGCCAAGTCGAGCCTGGAGTAGCCTCTCTTCCAGGGGATGTAGGTCTCGAGGCTCGGATCGGCCGCGCTATGCATAACTTCCTAGAAGGCCGCGCGCTTGAACTTTCAGGCAGCGCGTTGGTTCCAGAGCCCCCCGTGCCTGCACCGAGCCGAACGAGTCGCGTCGATCCGCGCCCTGGCCCCGGCGCCGCGCCCCGCCGCGAGCCGTTCGACGTCTCCGAGGCAAACCGCTCGCGCCTGAAGAACTCCGAGGCAAAGAAGGACTGGCCCCGAGAGAACGGCCCGAGTCGACGCGCAACCTCCAGACCTGCAAAAGCCGCGAACGCTGGGATAATCAATTATGCGTCCGCTTCCCGCGCAAAACCCCTTACTTCTTGGAGCTCGTTGGGGGGGGGGGGGGGGGGGCATTGGAGGTAGAGGCAGCGGCGAGAATGGGGCCGTCATCTGCAATCGGCAGCGCATGCGACCCATCGCCAGCGTAGCCCCGCATAAATAAATCAACGAACTGCTCAGCGCATGGGGCGCTCGATGAGCATGGCGGCCTCTATCAGGGGGGCCTCTGCGTTCCCAACCTCCAGGGCGTCAGTGTTCTCGGGCCCGAGCGTGCGATTTTAGCCTCCAAGTGGACGAATGAATGGTCTGACGAACAACTCGCGCGCATTGCCATATCCCATGCTGGCGCCACGCCGAGGGACAGCGCAGGCCTTCTCCTCGCCCGCGCGCGCTTCCATTGCAACCTCCGCGCGCCGCTGCAACGGGAACTTCTGGCCCTGCAGGTCGGGGGCGATGGCGCCGACAACCTCCGCGAGGGTGTCGTGACTCGTGGATGAGGGGTTGCGTTGCTCGTGCCCCCCCTGCATCTGCAGGCGCCGGGTCTGAAACTTTGCGAAGCCTCCGAACGTGAATTGTCGCAGCCAACAGCGCGCCCTGCGTCGCCCAATGTCGCGCGTAGCCGTGGGCGCGGTCGGGGAGCTCTGGCTTCGCATGGCGAGCGAACATTCCACGATGCCAGGCCTTTCCAAAAGAGCAGAAGCAGTGGGTCAGCCCCATGGCCTTTGTGCCTCGCATGGCGCTGTCCTTTGCCAATTGGAACGCGCGAGACCAGCGCCGCCAAGCAGGGGCGCGACAGGGCGCGCGGACCCGGCGAAACAAGGCCTGCAATATTTCGGCCAGTCGGGGGCGAGGGGCGCGAGGGAAAGGTCGCGCCTCGCGATCAGGGTCAGCAGCGCGCCGCCGCCCATCGCCACCTCGATCCTCGGCTGTCGCCGCTCGCGGGATCGCAAGCCAGATCTCACCTGGCGCCGAGTGGGGCGGCGCGAACTCCCTTCCTGCCCGTCTCTCCAGAGCCGCCAAAGCCTGTGCCCAATCCGCGTAGTCAGTAGACGTCGGGTGGCCTCTCAGCCGCTTCCAGTCTCCGTCTGGGTCCTCGAGCTCGCGCAGCCCAAATGCGAGCTCGACGGGGGTCCCAGGGTCAGGGGCGACGACGGCCAGGAAGCCCCCCTCTCGAGCATTCGCCACCATGGTGGTGGTCCATTTCTCGATCGTCGGCAAATAGTGCGGCAAGGTGTTGAATCTGCGCCGGCGCACGCCATGGTACTTCGCGCCCACTTGGTAAGCGAGCGTCCCAGGTCGGCCGCTCGCTGAGCCTCACGCAGCACGCGGCCCACATTCTCATGATCCAATCGCAATCTCTCTCGGCGTATATCACGACCACATCTCCGCGGGGCAACTCGATCATCCCCAGTTAAACAGTATCTGTCAAGTACGCGTCTCTTTTGAAATGGCTCTTCACGGCGTCGACCATACTCCTCAATCGGTCATGTCTTAGCCTCGGCTCGGCGCTCGTCGAGCGCAGCTTCGCGAACATCCTGGACCAGCGCTTGCCACAGCTCCGATGGGTCGCCCTGTCTTGCCGCACGCCGCCAATCCGCAGCATGGCCTCTCCATCTCGCCAAGGAGCGCCAGAGACACACCATCTTGGAACATCTCAGCCAGGCGACCATGGTCCCATCTCGGTTCCAGTTCAGCGTCGGGGGCGTCGAAGGGCAGCTTGTAACGTAGGCGCCACAGCAGAGGCCAATGGTCCTTGGACAGAGCGTGGGGGGATTCTCTGCAGGTCTCGCATGGCACCTCTCATCGTGCACCACGACACCGTAGAAGCCACCGCACCGCGTGGGGCCCAGAAGTGGTATGGATGAGAGGTGTGGCCCGGCTCCTGCCCGAAATAGGTCGGTCCTGTGGGGCAGAAGGGGCCGACGACCGCGAGCCCCTCCATGGACATGATCCTCGAGAGCTCCTGGCTCGTGAAGCTCTCAACTCCAACGTTGTAGTCTCCCACGTGGTCAGCATCAGAGATGTGCAGCACCGCGCCCCCGCCCGCAACTGTCTTGCCGAACTCGCAATTCGAGTCCGAGATCAGCACGATGAGGCACCTCGCGGGGGCGCCATGGGCGGTCTTCTGCAATCAGCTGGTAAGCCTGGTGACCGCGCCCTTCCAGACATCAATATGCAGGCGTTGGGGAGGGAAGTACGCGACCAGGGCGAAGATACCGAACGAGCTGCTGCGCAGACGAACGCCCCCCGCACGACCAGCTAAATCCCTCGGTGGTTCAACGATTTCTTGAATGTGCGATCTGCGAAAAGCCCTCTCGCGAAGAAATGTACTGCAACCGCCGAGTTCGTTAGTGAACTTACCTTTCTGCCATCCGAAGTCGAGAACGAAGTGCTTGGCGCTCTGCTGGATGGTGGCGCCGTCTTCTGGGCATCGCTTCCGCTGCATCGCTGGGCACAAGACCAAACCCGCAGGGCCAAGACGAGAAGAAACATCAAAAGTGCGCCATGGGTCTGTCAGGGAGAGCGGGTTACAGAGCACGATTTGCAACGAAGAACTCCACATGATGGGCGGGAACGGGTCTGCAGGCGGGGGATATCCTGCGCGGGTCAAAAAACAAGAGCCCGCGAACCCCTGGACTGGGCAGAAAGGGGCTGAGGGTACGGAGAGGAGGAGGGAGGAGGAGAGGGATGCGGGGGAAGGAGGGGGAGGACGGCGGAGTGGGGGGAGGGGGGAGGACTGAGACGGGGGGGGGGCAGGAGCGGGTGGCAGCAAGAGGGAGGGAGGGGTGGAAACGGTGAGCCGACCCTTTGTCAGCCGCAGCCTCCGACAGGTCGGCTGGCGAACGGGGCAAGCCTGCACACGATCGGGTGTTGCTGGACGTGCCCCTGGCCCAGGGTGCCCCCAGGATTTCCGAGGAGGCCCCCGCAGCCTCCACAGCACCCCTCACGAGGCCCACGGGGCCCCAGGTGCTCCCGAACAAGTGGCACGCGTGCCCTGGCGATTGCACCAAGGAGCTGCGAGGGACAGGAGGCTTTCGCCTCCTTACCCCGGGAGTTCCCTTCTGTGGCCGGTAGGGGTGAGGACGAACGACAAACGGACGCCGAAAAGCTGGGGGCACCTTGGGCCAGGGGCACCCTTAGCAACCCCCGATACAGCCGGCGCCCAAGCGAAGCACCCGCCCGCGGCGGTACCGCGTTGAAGGGGGCACCAGGATCGAGAGGCGGCTGGCAGGAAGCATGCATTGAGGAAGAGGGAGGGAGGGAGGGAGGGAGGGAGGGAAAGGACGAAATTCGAGGTTTGAGGTTTTCAAATACTTTCGCCAATTCCCACCTGTTTTCCCGCCTCGGGGTGCGTTCCAGCAGCTGCGCCTCGCCGAGATCGTGCTGGGGGCGCCCCGATCGTCCCGAACGGCCGCTGGAGGCCCAAAACGGACGCCGAAATCCACTCGGAGGACGAGCTTTGCGGGAGCAGGAGGAGGAAGAGGAAGAGGAGGAGGAGGAGGATGAGGCGGAGGGGGAAGATGAGGTGGAGGACGGCGAGGGGGAGGAGGAGGGAAAGGAGGAGGAGGAGGAGGAGAAGGAGGAGGAGGAGGAGGAGGAGTAAGACCAGAGTAAACCCAAGATGTACCAACGCTGAAGCTACACACCCTCCCGTCCCAAGTCCCCTCTTCATTCGCCCCATACAAGGACTATACTATAGCTCGCTGAGCGAAGCGTCGCCCTTGAAAGACGAGTGTGCCATCGGCCCGCAATTCAGGCGGGCGCTCAATGTTTGAAACAAGCTGCGCTCTATCATTTGAGATATATGGTATGCGGCAAAGGTCGTTCAATTAACGGAAATGTCCAGTGGTAAACCTTCTTTGGAATGGAGCCGCCCTCCATCCGCGTGGCTGGTGCAGACGTGTTACATTAAGGCCGCTGTAGTTTGTTTTGACTTGCAACTTTTGTTTATTTATATATAGGCCCTCACAATAGGCATCCATACATATATGTATAAATGTATGTGTGTATGGGAATGCGTGTATGCATCTGTACAGATCTGTAGATGTACATTCGCATGCATGTGTGAGTGTATACATAGAAACGTGCGTACACACATGAGTGTACCACGACGTGTGAAGCGATAACCTTACTTTGAAAACGAGCCGCCTTCACTCCGTGCAACTGTTGCGCAGATGTGCATTGGTGGACATTTGCACTGAGGATGTCTGAGGCAAGGGCTTCATTTCGAACACGTAACGGCCTCCATCCCTGTCACTGTTGTAGCTGTTTCGGGCGAAGGCGCACGCCGCCAAGGCGACATCCACTCTGTTGAAAAGATGCTCGCCTCCATCCGTGCACCTGATGCAATTAAAAACGATGGTACGCGGCGCCACCGTGATGTTCACACTTTGAACAAGTACTGCCCGTCGTACGTGCAACTGTCCGGAAGTTTAACCTTCGGGGTACTCCATGCAGGAGTCTAGTGCGAACAGCCAGGGTCGACCTGCGGACATGTCTGGTGGCGCGGCAGGGAGGAGCCATTCATGAGGGGAGGGAAACGATGTGGGGAGGACGAGGAGGAGAAGGGAGGTGGAGGATGGAGGGGGAGGAGGAGGAGGAGGAGGAGGAGGAGGAGGAGGAGGAGGAGGAGGAGGAGCAAAAGGGCGCGGACAAATCGCGACGGCCACTTCTTTTACGCGTTGGGCCTCCAGGGGCTGATGTCGGCCCCGAGGCCATCAGCAGAAATGGTCCGCAACGAAGCGATCGGAGACCCGTGCCGAAAGCTCCGAGGGCCACGCGGGCCTTCAAAAGCCACGGCGGCGGACGCCGAGGGGCCCAGGAGGTGCCCACGAGCTGCCGGAGGAGCGGCTGCGACGGGAGGGCCCGCCTGCCCTGAAGGAAGGCACGCTTGTCCTCACCTCGCTTTACAGGGCGGCACAGCGTATACACAGGAGAGGAGGAGAAGGAGGAGGCGTCCTCCTCCTCCTCCTCCTCCTCCTCCTCCTGCTGCTCCTCCTCCTCCTCCTCGCCCTCCTCCTCCTCCTCGTCCTCCTCCTCCTCCTCCTCTTCCTCCTCGTCCTCCTCGTCCTCCTAATGTTTGCCTTGTCCATCGCCCCTGGCCAGACCCATCCTGGGCCCAGGAGGTGTGCAGGCGCCCCCTTGGCTTGGTCAGGGAGGCATTTGCGCCGCTCCCGGGCCCAAGATGGGCATTGCCACGGGTGGTGGATGTCTGTAGGCGGCCTCGTCGCCCGACTTTGCGCCCCACCATGTTTTGCCTTCCGTGAGTGGCTGCCCTCACTAGCGCGACAAGGAAGAGAGGAAGAATGACGCATCCATTCATCGTGCTAGCATACAGGACACTGGCGAGGGAACGAGCGGAATTCTGTGGCCACGGCGAGTTTATGCCACGAACAGGTTCTTCGACCTACATCTAAAGAACAGCCCGACAACCAGAGCCCTTTTTAGCCCAAGGTGGTCTTTGCATCAACGTTTTGACTATACAGCCACGAGTAGAAGAAACAAAACACGTCATTTCTTGGATGTCCGCGCGGACCTCCGAGAACTCATGTCCATGTAGGTATGTATAATTCGAGCTACGAAGAGTAAGCGCTCAGCTTGAGGAGCCCGTGCCAGCCTTCTGGCAAATCTCTCTTCAGTCGCTGGGCCAGCCTCGCGCGCACGGCCCTGGGAACCTGCAGGAAGGTACGACACCGAGCTGGCCTCCTGGAGAGCCGCCGACGAAACGCTTGGCCAGCCGACCCGCGGAGCAGCAAACGCAAATCCAGACCTCAGACGATCATATGTTTCAACCCAAGCGTGTCAAAGATGATCTGGGGCGAAATGCTACCCACAGGGAAGGGGTCGGAACCTCTGGAGCTACTGAATGGCGCAGCTGTACTTGAACTCATGTTTGGGGATGATGCGGCTAGACGCACTGAAATATTTGAAACGTGGAGGGAGGGAATGAGGTCCTTTTCCTTCTCCTCCTGATCCCTCTGCAAAGCAAGATCGAATGGGGGGGGGGGGGGACGCACCCTAGCCTGGGAAGTAGTGCTGCCGCCGCCGCCGCTGGGACAGACGAGGAGGAAGGAGGAGTGAGGATCAACGAGAAGGAGTAGGATGGAGAAGATGATGAAGAGCGAGGCCAGTGTAAACCTAAAGGTCGTTATCGATGTTGCAATCAACCCTCCCTCCGAACTCCCTCTTCATAAACCCCTCGAATGGTTCATGTCCACAGAAAACAACGCACCAATGGGAGACAACCGTGCACCATGCTTAGGACGTCAACGCCACGAATCACCCTTTCTTGTTGCGTCTTGACGACCCGGAACCGTTCCAGAACGCCTTCCTTGGGACATCAGCACCGCGAATCAAAGTAACTATGGCGCCCTGGCAGTCCTCCATCGTTCCCGAAGGCCACTCCCTGTACCTTAACCGTGAGAACCCGTGAAACACGTGCAGATTGTAATGACGAGTGTGCCCGGCGATACGGCGAGAGGCACATTTTGAAAAGGAGCCGCCCTCCATCCTGGAAGCTCTTGCACATTGTTTAAAGACGAGTGTACGGGGCGCTAAGGCGAGAGCCGCATTTTGAAAGCGACCTGCCCGCAATCAGTGAAACTTTGCAATTTCAAAACGGGCGTGCGCGGGGCTAAAACGAGAACCACATGTTGGAAACGGCCCACCCGCAATCCGTGAAACTCTTGCTAAGGTTTGAAAGGAGTATGCGCGGCGCTAAGGCTAGAGTCACATGTTGGGTGCGACACGCCCCCCCTCTGTGATACTGTAGGCAATGTGGAAGATTCAGGGTCACAAGTTGCAGGGAAGTCTCACGCGAAACGCCTGGCCCGCCCGTCCGAATGGCCTCGGGGTGAGACAGGGAGGAAATGTTCAGAAGGGCAAGGCGTGGGGGAGGAGGAAGAGGTGGAGGATGAGGAGGAGGAGGAGGATGTGAAGAAAGAAGGCGGCGACTGGCTTGAAAAAGCGAGGAGGAAGAAGGGAGAGGAAGAGGAAGAGGAGGAGGCGAAGGAGGAGGAAAAGGAATGAAGGAAGAGGGAGAGAAGGCGAAAGAGGAGGAGTGACGGAAGGAGGGACGCAAGCGGGCAACGCGGCGAGCAGAGTCGCAATAGCTGGAGGAACCCAGGCTGCAGCCTGCGCACTTGCATACTGGTCAGAGCGGTCCGCCGATAGTGACGTTGGCGTTTGTGGTCGTCTCGGTGGTCGTCTCGGTGATTGTCCAGTTGGTCGTCCCGTTGGTCGCCTCGGTGGTCGTCTCAGTGGTTGTCCTAGTGGTCTCGCTGTGGGTCTCGGTCTCGTATGTCCCCCCACCGCAAGAGCAGCACCTGCTTGCAGAGATCGATGCCAAAACAAAGGCGTACAATTAACAACGGATGCCGACACTGAGGAACGGTTTGCAATCTCTACGTCGGAATGGCTTTCTTGGGAAACCAACTTCCTGCCAACAACCAACCCTTCCCATCCCCACCGCCGCCCCCCTGTCCCTCCACCCCCTCCTCATCGTTTTTCCTCACCCCTCCGCCCGGTTCTTCCTCCTCGTCTCCTTTCGCATCCTCCGCCGCCACCCGTCCTCCATTCTCATCCTCCCTCGTCTTCCTGCTCCTCCTCCTCATCCTCCTCCTCCTCCGCCTCCTCCTCCTCATCATCATGCACCCCCTCTTCATGCCTGACCTTCTCCTGCTCCTCCTCCTCCTCCTGCTGTTCCTGCCGTTCCTGCAACTCCTGCTGCTGCTGCTTCTCCGTCATTCCTTGCCCTTCTGGATAGCTCCTTCTTGTCGCGCCGCCAAACGTGTCGGTAAGGCGGCACGGGCGTTTCGCCTGAGACTTCCCCACCATTCATGATCTTGAAGCTTGAAGCTTAAAATGGTTTCACAGATGGAGAGCGGGTCATTTTCAAGCTGTGGTTATCGTTTTAGTGCCGCGCAGCTTCGTCTCATGAACGTGCAACTGTTGCAAGGATGGAAGGCGGGTCCTTTTCAACATGTGGCACTCGCATTCGCGCCACGCACCTTCGTCTTACAAGTTTGCAACAATTTGAATAATGAAGGGCATGCCGCTTTCAACGTGTCGTTCTCGCCGACGCGCCGCTCGCACTCGCCTTAAAGGTTTGCAACAGCTTCAAGGATGACGGACGGGTCATTTTCAACACTTGGCTCTCGCTTTAGCGCCGCGCACAGTCGCCTCAAAAACTTGCAGGAACTTCAAACATGGAAGGTTGTTCATTTTTCAACATGTGGCTCTAGCTTGGTCTTGCGCGCATTCGTCTCGAATCTGTGCGACAGCTTCAAAGATGCCGTATGCTTGAGGTCCTAAGAACGGTTCTCTGGCACCATTTAGGGTTTAGGGTTTAGGGCTGTTAGGGCACAGCAGGCACGTTGACTCGCGGTGTTGAAGTCTCAGAAACGGCATGCTGGCGCGATTTACGATTGGCAAGAGCCAAAGGTCACGTTGATTCGCAGCGCTGAAATCCCAGGACTTGTGTTTTGGCGCTGCTGAAGATTCTCAGACGCGTGTATTCCAATAGGGGCCCCCCCGCAATGGACATGAATTCTTGCAAAGGCCTGTGAAGAGGGAACTTTGACGGACTGCTTCTTGCAACATCTTTGGTGCGTCTTTGAATTACACTGGTCCTCATCCATTCCTTTTCCTGATCGACAACTCCTCCCTGTTGCGCCCCAAGGCTGGTCGAAAGAGCGGGCCGGGCGTTTCGCCTAAGACCTCCTTACCACTTAGGACCCTGAAGCTTCAAGCGCGACAAATGTGTCACATATGGAGGGCGGGCCGCTTCCAAAATGTGGCCCTCGCCTTAGCGCTGCGTTCATTCGTCTTACAACATTGCAAAGGCTCCACGGATGGAGGGCGGGTCGTTTTCAGTGTGTGGCTCTCGCCTTAGCGCCGCGCACATTCGTCTTACACTCTTGCAAGAGTTGCACGGATTGGGGGCTGCTCATTTTCAGCGTGTGGCTCTCGCCTTGGCGTCGCGCACACTCGTTTTCTACAAAGAGTAAGAGCTTCACGGGTTGAGGACGGGTGGTTATCATAATGTTGCTCTCGCCTTAACGCTGCGTGAGTTTTACGGATTGAGGGCGAATCCTTATCAAAATGTGGCTTTCGCGTTGGCGCCGCGCACACTCGTCTTAAACATTGCAAGGGTTTCGCTGATCCCAATTGTTGACGTACCAGAAACTGGCGTTTGGAACGGCTCAGGATTGTCAGGGTGCAACAATTGCGCTGATTCGCGGTGTTGAAGCCTCGCGAATGGTGCTTTCTGGCGAGATTCAGGATCCTCAAACGGTTATCTCCCAACGGGGCACCTCCCTCAGTGGAAATGAATCCTCGTAAGGGCCAAAGAAGAGGCAGCTTGGGGGGAGGGTTTATTCAAACATCGTAGGGTATTGGCCTTACGCTGGTCCTCTTCCTCCTTCTCCTCATCTTCCTCTCCCTCTTCCTCCCTCCTCCTATTCCTCAGAGCACATGTCGGTCGCGGTGAAGTCCTCAGAATCGTAGTAACTCGCCCACTGGCAGGTGTGCGGCGCCCAATCCCACTGGAGGCACGAGACTGTTGAAGGTGAAGGGGTGGCGTCCCTGTCCTCAACCTGGCCCCTGTCCTCAACCTGGCGAAGGGGACGGCGATCAGAGGTCGCCAGAGGTGGTCCTGGCCCGGAGCGCCTCGAAATTGTCACGCCATTTTCGAGCCCCTGCGGCCTCCTGGGCCTTGGCCTGGAGGCCGTCTGGGCCTCCATCGGAATCATGTAGCACCTTGGACCTCGGACGCCTCTGGCAACGCCCTGGACGAGAACGGCAGCAGGAGAAAAAAGAAAGCCTACACCCTCCCAGTTTGACTTTCGTCCCCTTCTTCCTGCCTCTCCTTCACATGCTCCTTTGTTTGTTTCTTATTCTTATTTTTCTTCTTCTCCTCCTCCTCCTCCTCGTCCTCCTCCTTCTGCTCCTCCTCCTCCTCCTCCTCCTCCGTCTCTTGCTCCTCCTCGTCATCATCATCATCATCATCATCAGCAGCAGCATCATCAACATCATCGTCATATTCGTCGTCATCATCATCATCACCATCACCATCACCATCACCATCACCATCATCATCATCATCATCATCATCATCATCATCATCATCATCATCATCATCATCATCATCATCATCATAATCATCATCATCATAATCACCACCATCATCACCATCATCATCATCATCATCATCATCATCATCATCATCATCATCATCATCATCATCTCCCTCCGCCTCCTCCTCCTCGTCCTCCTCCTCCTCTTCGTCCTCCTCGTCCTCCTCATCGCCCACCCCGAGGATGATGAGGGGGGGGGCAGGGGAAACAAGAGGGGGAGGATGAAGGAGGAGAGCCTGAAGTGGAAGGTAAGGGAGGACTGGGATGACGGGGGGGACAGGAGGAAGAGAAGGAGGAGGGGGAGCAGGAGGAGGAGGACGAGGAGGAGGAGCAAGAGGAGGAACGGGAGAAGGAAGAGGAACAGGAGGAGGAGGAGGAACAGGAGGAGGAGGAGGAGGAGGAGGAGGAGGAGGGGGAGGAGGAAGCTTGGGCAACTGGTGAATCCTCATGAGCCTGTGCTCTACTTGAATCGGGCTGTTAGCTCCTGGCGGGAACACACGGCTTGGCAGGAACATGCTGCGGGAACCCCTGGCTGAAAAGGTCGTTCGGGCCCGCTGCCACACTGGGCCGGCTCCCGTGAAATAGAATTTCTAGCCGGTGGGCGGGGGTCATCGCTCGGTGGCGCATCCCCCCGGTCTCGGGCGAGAAATCAACCGAGCAAGAACACGGACGTCCGTCCAGCTCCCCCAGAAGCTCTGAAATTGTTGTGCACATGAGAAGACCCCCTTCCTCATTCCATCGCCCCGCCCGCTCCACATCCTCGTCGGGCGCGAACTGCTGAAGGAATTCGGCGGCCATGACACTGCCTAGTGACCATTGCCCTGTCTGTTGCACCAGAGCGTCTGCAACTGCCTCTTCAACGCGCCCGGTGGCGGAGTTCCCGCGATTGGCGTTCTCCCCCGTGGCTTTCATGGACGTGTAGATCATGCTGCGCAGCTGGGGGATTGATATCATCCTTAACGAAGCTGGCCTCCGCTAACTAATTGCCCCGTCTGACATTGTTGCTCGTTGGGCGGCGACGTCGCCAGGGGAGCGGCCACCAAATGCAACTTCCAACGCTCCATGTGCCACTGCTCGCCGTGCGCACTCTTGATCCGCATGTGGCGCAACAGGTCGGCCAGCACCTCGTGCGGTCTCACCTCCGCGTTGGCCGCTTCCCTCGCTGATGCAAGCTGGCAATTTTTTTCATGCGGCCGAGACCCGTCGAGAAGTCCGCCCCGATGTCCAAATGTGGGCTGCACAGGTCCTTCTCGCCCGACTGCGCCCTCTCCGCGTGCGCGGGGCCCGCGTCGGCCCCACCCTTGACCAGGTCGTGCTCGTTTCCATCCGCTGAGGAAAAACCCACGTGCTGCCCGTCATCAGCCCAACTTCTCTATGATGACGAGGTCGTTGCCAGTCACATCGCGCCCAGCGCTCCTGCCGTTCCCTCTCCTGTGGCCGCCGCGCTGCCGCTCGGTCACGCCGCGGCCCCCCGTCGCCGCTGGCGCTTCTCCCTGCGCCATTTCGCCCCCATCCCGCCCCCCCCCCTCGTCGGCTGCGACCCTCGAACTCGACATCGGGCCCTTCTGCGCGAGAGCAAACGTGAATGAGGTGCGAAGTAAGTTCGTTATCCTCTGTGCTGCAGTAGTTGCAGACGCAGGGGGCCTGCGTCGAGCGGGTCGGGCATGTTGCGGGGCCCCTCTTGTCCATTCTTAGACACTGTCTCAGACGGGCGGCCTAGGGCGCAAAAACCGCGCGGGGCAATTGGCATGCGTTCGTGCGGATCATCATCGAGATCTAATTGCGCAGTTTGCGCGCGCGTGTCACGTGAGCTGCCAGCGCCGTCGTTGTCTGGTACGTTGCGCCGTGCAGCGTGCCGTCCTCGAGCTCAAGGGCGCAGATCCATTCGCCCACGATCGCGCCGTGCCTGCTGTCCGCCTTCTCGCGTTGTTCGCCGCCCATGCCCCCGCGTTCCTTGCCCTCCGCCCATTGCCCACTCGGCCCCGCCGATGCAATTGCAAGTGCCGCCCCCCTAGCCTCGCGCTCGCATGGGAAATCGCGACGCGGTGACGCGTGGCGCGCGGAGGCGGCGAAGAGAATCTCGGGGCCCAATTGTTCTTACAGTGCATGCTCGCGATCTCGCCAGACGCCACCGAGAGTGCCTTCAAAGTTGGCCAGCGCCTCCGGGCTCTGCACAGCGTTGTCTGGCCCGCTGCGCGCCTTGGCCAGCGAGGTGGCCATTCGGGAAAAAGCGCAACAATGACAGATTCCGACCAAGACGTTGGTAAAGCTCTGCGTTGCCAAACATTGCCGCGATAATTTGCTTGGTTTCCTGGCCTGACGCAATTGACTGCCACCGCGTCAGCCGCTGCGTCCTCAGCTCGGCCGATGCGTCGCTGATGTCCCAACGTTTGAATACCTGTTCGTCGTCTGGTCGCGCGCGAGACGTCTGGGTAGCCGCGCGAGCGCGGCGCCCAGCGCTCTCGAGAAGTCCACGGGCAAAACGCAGGCCACCGAGCCCGCGACGGCCGCGCTGCGCGCGAAGCGCAGCGCTGAGCGCGATGCCCCAAAAACAACACGCGCAAGCGCTAGTGATGAAGTAGCTGGCGCGAGGCGTCTCCCACAGGCTGCCGAGCTGCACGTGCTCGTCGGGCGCGTTGTTTGAACTCGGCCCCCAACTTTCCGTCGGGGCCCATGGTCGGTCCAAGGAACCTGCTGTCCTCCCCATGCGCCCCTGAGTAAGACGACGCCCCCACGCGGCCCCTTGGCGGCCTCGAAAGATCCCCCGCCAGCCAGATTCAGGGGGCGGCTTGTCTACTGAATTTATGGGATGGCCCTGTGGTAGGATAGGTGCATGTAGTCGCCCTGTTCCATGTTTCAGCTGCGCCGTGGTGCATCTAGTTCGAGGTTCACGCGCGCGCATGTGAACTCTAGAAACGCCGTTTAGATATCATTCAACTCCGACGTCGACCTCCCCCTCCCCGCCGGCGGCGGCCCGGCCCTTCAGCCAGCTGTGGCTCGCATCTGCGCTGGCCGCCTCGTCGTTCTAAGCCTGCGTCGCTGGCGAGCGTCCCATTGCGATTCCTTGGCGTTGTTGGGTGCCGATTTTGCCGCCCGCCCCCGGCGCGCGGCGCGGCCATGTCGCCCGCCCGATCTAGAAGCGCGATGTTCTCAGTTCTGCCGCATCTTGCGTGGCGCTGAGCGCCTCCCTTGATCGCGCGTGGGAAGCGTTCGCGCCGTCGAAATTAAATGCAGCGCGGCCGAGATTTCCGATCCTGCGTTTCCACATCGCAGCCGAGAGCGCCGCGCCCTACCCCCCCGCCCCTGTTCCAAGCAATCCTCCGCGCCCAGCGCGCGGTGGGTCGGGCCTCGGAGATGTTCTCTATAGGTGTCCGAAGCACGACGTCTCACGCATGTCGAAACGACGCAGCACCCCCCGGCGCTCGACCCCTAACTGCCCGCTGTTCTTGGCCCGGGCAAGCGCCCGGGGGCAAGCTGCAATCGGACCGAGCCCGCAATCTTGATTGGCCCCAGCAAATCGTTGCATCTCCTGCCGGGCGCTTCGGCCGCGCGCTGCCTCCCCCGAAGGCGGCCAGTGCTCGTCGCCGAGGCCCCTGCGAGCGCCCCATCGTGGCCCAGCTCGTCTCTTCAGGGCCCTCCAAATATGCGCAACAAAACCCTGGCGACCGCAGCGCGCTAGTTCGGCGAGATCCTCCGGGCGGCGAAGCTGGGGCGACGTGGGCCCCGGGACCCCTGTCCGACATCCGTTCGTTCCAATCGATCCCAGCGCATGCGCCCGCCCCGAGTCCGGCGCGAGGCCCGGCCCCTGCTTCCGCCCCGTTGTCGCCGCGCCCTGTCTGGCCGCGAATGTCGATGCTTTCTGGGGGGCCCCTCCCGTTCCCAAGGGATTCGGCCCCGCGCGATGCATCTCCGCCGCCCGCCTGCCTCTCCGCGCCTGGTGGAACTCCTTGACGAGCGTTTCTGCGCGAGCCACATATTGTTCTCTGCGCTGGTGCTGCGCCCCACTCGCAACGAGCCCCAGCTGCCCTTCGATCCTGTCGCGCGCGGTCGGCCCGCCCCCCTCGAACGACTCGCTGCCCGCGGGGTGTGCTCCGCGTCTCAAGTCGCCCCGTTTGCGAATCTACTCCGCCCCCCTCTCCTCGCAGTCAACAATTCCACCCGGTCATTTTGGAAGCGCTGTTAGTGAAGCTCCACTGATGCGGTTTCATAGTCTGTTCCAAGCGTCGCCCGTGTCGCCCCTGTGCCAGATATTATGCGCACTCGCGCTCATCGATTTGTTCAGCATGCCGTGCCATCTCCTGCTACAGCGCGCGCCACCTGCACCCCTTGGATCGCGCTGCAATCGCGCGCGGTTCGTTGGCGGGGCGAACTCTGCCTTGCGCGCGCGTTCAGATCAACGACCACCCCTACCACGATTGGTGCGTTATCGCACGGGCGCGGCAACGCACGTGCTTGAAACGTCCCCCTCGAATCGCGGA